TATATATATATTTACTTTCAACCTGATTTTACTGTGTGGAAAATGAAGAAAGTATCATTTGTGTTCTTGCAAATCCAACCTCTCCACTTGTTATTGGAAAATGGACTGAGGTCACAGATTCAGGTGAGTCAGACCTGTTGAAAGCATAGCTGTGTGTGTGTGTGTGTGTGTGTGTGTGTTTGTGTATATGTGTGTATGTGTGTGTATGTGTATATGTGTGTGCGTATGTGTATGTATTTGTGTATATGTGTGTATGTGTGTATTTGTGTATGTGTGTGTATGTGTGTGTGTGTATGTGTGTGTATGTGTGTGTGTGCGTATGTGTGTGTGTGTGCTATGCCTCTGTTTAGTAGACTTCCATGGAGGCCCTGCAGGCTTTGGTTCTGTGTGCCCTGATGACCTGAAAATGAAGCTTTCTGTTCCATTACTGATCCCTTCGTAGTAACAGGTAATGATTGACTATTTCATTGCTTAGAAAATTATACCTACACTTTATAAGCTTTCAGTTAAATTATAATTTTATGTTTAATAGTCTGCTAGAGTTAAAACTTCAAAACCTCTCATTATTGTAAAGACACGAGGCCCCTGCAGTCCTTTGAACCGTACCAGAATTTAATTAAACAATCAAGGCAAGAAATACTGAAGTCACCGGGGGCCGAGCGAGTCAGCTTGTGATAAACAGTTGAGATGGGGCGCTGGCAGCACTAGCTGGCGTGGGTGGAGAACGTAGCTGTGGTTACATGGGCATCTTAAAAGCTCTTGGTGGCAAGTCCCCACTCCTCGGCCATGCTCTCTCTGCCCCAACCAGATCTTCCTCACCACACACACACACACACACACACACACACACTACACTGTCATGAACCAGGTGTGCTTCCCAAGAAACCTGATGGAGGCTCTAGATATCTCAGCCCTCCCTGTGTTTGCTATTGTGCTAGAAGTGGAATTTATCTTCTAGGAGATGTGGGGCCATGGTTCCTTGAAGGTTATGTCATGTCCTTCACCAGCACTGTCTGAGCAACCTGAGATAATTAGGAAAACATTTGAAAGCACTTAGCCAATCTCCATTCTGGATATTATTAGTGAAAAATAAATACTTACTGATAGTAATTGAGTCACTAGAGAAAGTGTTAATAGAAGCACCCAACATTGAATATAATGCCCAAATCTAATGTAATCTGTAATTGGGTTTATACTCAAGTTAGTGTTTTAACTGGGAAGATTGTCCCTTATTCAACAAATGTGAATGGAGAACCGGTTACAGGTGATCAGCTCTACTCTCTATGGAGCAGGGAGTACGGATAAGGAGTCTCTGTCCTTTCGAGACTTATAAACCACTAAGGGATAAAGAAATATGTCTACTATTTTACCTTGTGGAAGGATAACCACATTAAGTGATAAAATATGTCTACTGTTTTACCTTGTGGAAGGATAACCACATTAAGTTGCTATGGTGCATTATAACAACAACAAAAATAGTTATTTGGCAGGTATCACACAAAATAGCTCTGTTTCTTGGTTGCCAAATACCAAACTTACCTTTAAAATATGTTCTATCCATTCTTCCATGATTTTATTAATGTCATTATTAGACGTATCCCTGTGTGGTAGTTTGGCGCTGATGTGCTGCTCTTCATTATATCACAACCTGTGGGTGTTGTACCAACTGCAGACAACTCATGATGTAGTGCTGCTGAGACGGTGGGCATCAGAATCTCCCGGAAACAGAGTACTCCCAAGTGCCAGATCTTAACCCTCAACCATTAATAGATCATAAATCTACCAGGGCGGGCTTTGGGTTGCCACATGGTGCAGTGGATTTCTCAGATGTTCTGTGTATCGTAGTTTGAGGCTCAATGCTAGAAAGAACCACTGAAATAGAAGAATAACTTTAAAATTGAGATGACCCCAGACTTGAGACACACTGTGATTCTTAAATTCCTTAGAAATCCAGGCAAAAGTGGCGGCAAATTTGTCTGAGGCAGTTCCTCGGACTGGGACGTGTCTTCTACATAGGCCGATCAAGAACTAGCCAGACTAGGGTAATTTGGTATTCCATTTTCATCACTCCCCCTCTCACTGCCACCAGCAACCTCCCATCTGGGATGTCATCCTGAATCCCTTCACAGCCATGACACACTTCCTCTGCCATATGGTTACCCTGGGCTTGATTAATTGCCTTTAATAGAACTTCAGAGAATGGGTGGAGATTAAAATGACTACATCTACATCACCCTTGGTACGGATCAAAAATTTTGTAGAAATTCAACAATATTTGAGTGCCAGATTTCCTTGGATACAGCCTTAAACCCTGCTTGGGTCACACAGTTGCATGGGACTTGCCTGAGCTCTAACATTGGAGTGTCAATATTCCAGTATTGGCTTTGAAACCCTGGGCAAGGTTTTCTCCACCCTCAGCCTTGCCATCCTTGTTATAACCACCCTCTAGGCTTGTGTTGAGGTCTACATCAGAAAAGATAGGGAACATGTTAAGCATTATGTCTGTAGAATAGAGAGTATGTAGTTAGCTATTTTTTCACTCATATTTTTGAGCTTCTCTAAGCAAAACAGTTAGTTGGACAAATGTATTTTCAGCCTTGGAAACAAATACAAATCCCCTTGTCCATTTTGAAGACCACTTCTCCCATATGGGTGTCTTACTGTCCCTGATTTCCCTGCACTCATCATGGGACTCTTGGGAGCAGAATGTCCTCCTGACCAGTAGCCAACTTGTCTTTCTTGGATTTCTCTCTGTCCTGACTTTCTCCTTTCCTCTATATTACACTCATTTGGGATGCTGTTCTCAGGGAACCCATACAATGACTGTGTACCCAACATTAGCCATCAATAATGACTTGGCCTTCCAAGAAGATATTTACCTTAGTGAGAGGTCTGCAAGGCCACAGAGTATCCAATTTTCCCCATTTTCCCCCAAGGCAGCATATTGTGCTGTTCTGAACAGCTGAAGATGCAACAAGAAGCTCACATGCAGTCAGAGCTTTGGGAAGCTAAGAAGTGGGTTTGGTAGATGGAGGTGGCAACTTGACTCTCTTAGGCACAGCTTTCTCCAGTATGACTAGGGGATGCTGATTGGCAGTATGGGATATGGATGCCACTAACAAACTCTCTTAAGGGTTTAGAGCCACTGCAACTTGAGATGCCACAATATACTAAGACAGAGCTGGATCCCCAGAGCTGTCCAGTTCTCACTCAAGTCACTAGTAAGACTTCAAAACTGCCCACAGGTAAACCCAGTCATGTTCACTTATGGGGTCTCCGTGGAGCACTCCCTGCAGAGATGTAAGAGTCTGGTGCCTACTGTCTGTCAGCCTCCAGCATGCAGATCCAGCCCGAGATGGAGCAGCACCAGGTGGACATAGAGAGTCCACACCAACAGGAGTTCAGTCATCACTTGGCAGCTCTCAGAATGCAGTAAGCATCAGACTCACTTGGGAGCTTATATGAAACACACATGAGTGAATCTGTCTGTTCTGAGACAATTCCTGAATGGGAGCCTGGCCTGGGTTATAAAGCCTCCCTGGAAAGTTCTGACAATCCTGGTGAACAGAAAAGCATATAGAGGGGAGGAAGCAATGTAGGGTGCGATTAGCCTTATCGGGGTGACAGGCCAGCAGTCCTGCCCAGCTCGTGTGAAATGTTCGATTTGTTCTTACAATTAAAAAATTCACCTTAACAATTTACTGTGATTTGAAATTAGGGTGCACTTCCCAACAATCTGATGAATGGTCCATTCTGTAGAGAAGCCCTAGGAGCACAAATATTTTAGCCATTTGGCTGTTCTGGCCTTTATTTTTTCCTGCCTAGCAAGCAGTCTTCACATGTCTTATTACAGCCTAGTAGATCATTTGAATGGTGGCTTGTTCTGAAAGGACAGTTTCTCTGTTTCTCTCATAGTTTTGGCATGGTCCATGATGGAGAAGGAAACATGTGCAAAAAGTCTGAGGGCAACATAATGTCCCCGACATTGGCAGGACGCAACGGGGTCTTCTCCTGGTCACCCTGCAGCCGCCAGTATCTGCATAAATTTTTAAGGTAAGAATTCCTTGAACAGGTCCTGTGATCTTTCAGTGCCTTTGGGACTCAATGCCTGTCAGCCTGATTCTGGGTGAGTAGTCCAGGCTGCGCCTCCAGGATGGTTTCCCTTTGAAGGTGTCTGAGACATTCAGTTGAGCAAAGATTTACTCAGTGGTTCCTTAGAGCATCGAGGCCTGCTGGTGTCATCTGACATTGACCTTCAGGCTCAGAAGAAGCCCATATACCACTTATTATAAACAAAGGTATTCATCACTAACTTTTAATATTTTTAAGTTCTTTTATAACTAGGTATCTTAATGAGTAGGGAGATCTAGTATGTGTACATCTGTATACACAATGAAAAAGCGTAACTACCAAATTTTTTGTTATTTTATTTTTCCTTCTTTTTTCTTAGAGATTTTTGCCCTGCATTCACCAAGGAGAGAGACAGGCAGTGAGAGGGAAAGTGACAAGCCTCCTCCAAAGGGAGATAGCCACATCACAGTCCCTTCTCCTGGGATCTTGGTCTCACATGCACACGCACATGCCCAGTATGATTTTTTTTTCCCTTTTCACATCAGTTTTATCTGATTTTTCTCATACCAATCTAAGAGTCTTACTTTTCTATAAAACATTATAGGAAATCAAAGTAATAATTAATACGTCCCCCAATTTTAAATATTCAACTTAATGGAGACAGAGCATCTGTAACTTAACACTTAATGAAAACAGAGCATTTTAACAGGTTCTATGCAAACATGATTCCACTATTGATTTGCCGTTACCTTAGTTTTAAAAAGGGGTAGTGGTGGGGAGAGGCAGAGGCAGGGCTACCCCAGCTAGGACCATAACTTAGGAGTTACACAACTGAGATGTCCTCAACTCTACAAAGCATCAATTGATGCCCATAAAGCCTGTTTCTACCAACCCTTTGTTTTTTAAACCTACACAATGGGCAGGTGTCTGAGGCATAAAGTTCAGGCCAATGGGTTCTTAAGGGCTCTGGAAGAACCAGGACTAAGGATACTTCCCAGTTTAAGGATGCATTTTACAACTCAAAAAAAGTGGGCTTTGCACACAAGAGGTTTGGAGCTGACTAGAAACAATGGGGGAAAATTGCATTAGCTGTAGTTGTAAAGTTTTTGTTTATTTGTTTGTTTGTTTTTCCTCTTTTTTTCTTTTTATTTTCTCTTTTTACCATCTTGTGAAGGGTTTCTGAAACTTGATAATAAAAAGCAGTTGATATAAATTATTCTTTGTGACCCAGTATGATTTTCAAGTCACCATGTTGGCCATGTGGGAGTCCCATGACATAACCAGTACGCCATCTGCTGGCCCTGTCTTTTTCTTTTTATAAAACACATTTTTATTAGATGGGAAAACTTGAATACATAAAGCTTAGCATGATTCTGAAATTCTGTAAATTTGAGAAGTATGTGTAGAAACATTTATTATAGCCCTAATTCATTTAGCACATAGAACATTGGAAAGGCAGGGTTTGACACTTGAAAAAGAGGTAGTAGATTTTAAAATTTCAGAGAAAGAAAGAACTTTAAGAAACATCCTTAGATCTGCTAGTCACAGAGACTGTTCCCCAAATCTCAATGGCTTTGTGTTTAAATCTGGACTAATCTTTAAGTCAAAAGTTTCTTTCTGGCTCATGTCACCCTCCAGGGCAGATCAAGGAATCTCTGATCAGAGATTCAGGTCTGTTCCATGCTGTGGCTCTTTACTCTTCCAGGATAAAAGCAATGAGCTGAGGTCTGGGAACAGAGAGGGCATTCAGTAAGAGGCTGGTGTTCCTGGAGGGAATATGAAGCCCACAGCCAAAAGCGAAAGGGGTGCTCAGAAAGGTCTCCCCATGTAAGCTGAAGGAAAAGGACAGGGCATTGATAAGGAGGGCCATCAGTGCTGTATCATCAACCCCAAATCCTATCACAGAGAAATAACATTACTGAGCAATTGGGGTCCACTGCCCACGGCACATAAATTCCAATTTTGAATGTTTTAGACTTACGGACTTGCCACCAAGTCTTAAAACAAGAAAGGATCTGGGTCAGCAGGTGGTATGAAGGTGAAGGTGCTGGATCCTACATAGCCAACTGCATGGTTCAAGTCCTGGACCCAGCAGCTTGAAAATCATGCTGGTGTATATGTGTATGTGCCAAAAATCCCAAGAGGAGACTGGAGGAGAAAGGATTATGACATGGCCATCCCCTCTGGGAGATGCTTTCTCACTTTCCCTCTCTCTTTCTCTGTCTCTCTCTGGTGAGCACGTGCTCCTTATAGCAAAACAAAACAAAACAAAAAACAGAAAAACAAGAAAGGGTTTTATTTGCATGGCCAGTCAGCAAAAAGGCAGCAGTGTTACAACTCTGATTTTGTAGCTCAAATCTCAATCTGCCTCCCTAACTACAAAAAGATTGGGTGTTTGATTAAGAAAAAAGTCCTCACCATGTTTTCAATTAAGTCATTTTAGGCAAAGGAAAGATTGAGAGTTATGCAGTTAGCTCACTCAAGCTGCAGTCCTTTGGTTTATTAAGCTTTCTCTGCAAGTAAAGAATTGGCGCTGGTACTGTTCTGATTGGTTGCTCTATTGCAGCTGACATCTTCATTCCTTCCCTACAGTGGGGTCAGGTTTAAGCCAGCCAGTCCTCTCAGCACATGTGTCCTGAAAACAAACTTACAAAATAGTCATTAGCACTCATTTTTTTTCTTACTAGCCTAGTTCTGACCAATTACATAACTGAAATTAGCAGGGGCCAGCTAGGTGATAGAAAAATTAAGTAGAACCCCAATATTCTGTACCCTACAACTGACCTCTCCCTACTAATCCCAAGGACAATGGGTTTAATTAGCAGAGGAAACGCAATTTGGTTGCAGTCATAGCTTTTATTTTTTAAATTTTAGGTACTTAACAAAGTCACTTGGTTCAAATGTTAAACAGATGAGTGAGAGTCTGCTAAGGAAGTGCTTTCATTTCTTAAAGATGACTACTCTGTGGGAGACAGTGCGGGCAGGGTCTACACAGAACCTACATTCATGAGCACGCGAGTAGAGACCCTGTCTGGACCCAGAGATGCTTCAACACTGCTTTCCTCCCTCTGAACCCAGGCTCTGGGACTGAGTGGCAGCGCTTGGCTGGAATTTGACATTTTTACTCCTCATGGAAGACACACCTATTTTCACCTTTGCTACTAGGAAACATTCGTATTCCTTTAGCTCTAGGAGGGAAACTTACTCTTATTCAGGATAGAGGACATGTACATTCAATAGACAGAAATGTATCCATATTTTGGCAAACTTTAAGGGAAATAAGCCAGTCACAGGACACATACTCATAGTTGTGCTTCCATGAGCATCTAAAATAATCAAGCTCATAGAAGCAGAGAGTCGAATAGTGCCTGCCAGGTGCTTAGGGTGGGGCAGGGGAAGTGGGGAGTTGCTGGCCAGTGGGTATAGTTTCAGTTATGTGAGATGAAGTAGTTTTAAAGACCTACTATGCAACATAATTTTATACTATTATTTTTCTTTCTTTCTTTTTCTTTTTGGAGAGGTTTTTGCTATAGGGCACATGTGCTCACCAGAAAGACAGAGAGAGACAGAGAGACAGAAAGTGAGAAATTACCCCACACCATAATCCCTTCTCCTCCATTGTGCTCTCGGGATCTTGGACATGCACGCACACACGCCTGGCGTGAATTTAAGCCACTGGGTCCGGGACTCAAACCACGGTCAACTACACGGGAGTTCAGCGACATAGCTGTTACGTTAACTGCTGGTCCCGTAATGCCTATTATTAACAATGTCATACATTAAAGTTTTTCAAATTCAAAAGATGTAAGACAGTAAGTATCACTACCTTGGACTTTGGTTGAAGAATTGTGTTTTTCCTTTAAGAAACTCACAATAGTTAACGATTCTAGTAGAACAGACACAATGAATGTGCTTTTTATTTTCAAAATACACTAACATTAACAAATAATAAGGAGAAATGGGCTGCTGTATTTAGTTGTTAATGAAATTCATTCACAATGGGAGGGAAAGTATAGAGATAATCACTTTCATCTTTATATATTTTGGGGAAATATTAACAAAGAAAAATATTCAATCTTAAGAATCTGGAGCAAATTTTATAAAAAATCATGTTAAATTGGAAGTTAGATGAGAAGGAAAAGTAAATGAAAGTTTAAAAACTGCAGGCTAGAAAAAAGGACACACACAGTATATACGTCCTAAATAATTGCCTAGTTGTAAAATTGAAGCTGAAATTTGGCTAGAATCTTTCTTGAAACTAAAGGAAATTAATGTTTCTATTAATAGAAATTAGGACAAATAGCAATATTTCAAGAAAAGAAAAGCTTTTCAGCTTATTTTTTTTTATTATTTTGTCAGAGGGCATGTGCACTTGCCAGACTGAAAGAGAAAGTGGCCGCCAATGGGGCGTGGTCACAGTGCAAGCATTTTTCCATCCCATCAGGATTTCAGGCATGTACGTACGTGCACATGGCATATTTTTCCTGCCACCAGAACTGAGATTCAAACTGTAAATGACCATGTAGTTTCCAGCTCCCAATGCACAGGGCTTAACTAGTGTGCTTCAGTGACAGACGTTTTTGGTTTCCATAACAGTGTTACTGAAGTGAAATGGATATACAAAAAGCCTGCACATTTTTTAAGTATACAATTTTAGGAGTTTGGACATATACATACACCCATAAAGCAATTACCACAATGAAAAAAATAAGCTGATCTACCACCTCCAAAAGTTTCCTCCTGCCCCTTTGTGATAGGGGTTGTTTTATGGTAAACATGCCATCTACTCTCTTTAAATTTTTAAAAAAATTTTAAATTTGAAAAAATTTTGAAATATAGTTTTATTAACCATAGGCATTATGCTGCATAGAGGATCTTCAAAATTAATTTATCTTGCATAACAGAAACTATACCCATAGAATAACAACTTTCTATTTCCTCTGCCCCACCCAAAGCACCTAGCAACCAGCATTCTACTCTCT